ACAGCTACATTATAAAGTGATGTAAAATACTAAAAACAGGAACATGTCTGTTGGTTTATGCCATGCACTTAGCAGGTGTTTGAAGCCATTTAACATTTTATTTTATTTAATTCATTTATTCATTCATTTAAAAGAAACAATATGAACAAACAAATTTATCAAAAAGAAATCATTGAATGAAAAGAGTGCAGAAAGAAGAAAAAAATTCTTATAACTGCCCCTTATTTAAAAAAATAAAATAAAATAACTTTAAACAAACAATCACTTAAATTAATCACTTTAATATCCACTTTAAAACTAGGAATAAAAAAAAAAACATGTTTTGTGTTAGCAGGATTTAATTCTAACTTTAAAACTTATCCAACATTAATAAAACTTACCTCAAGTTGCCTTTTTGGAAATGCATGCATATATTTGTACAAATTGTACTTGAGAGGAGAGTAGGGGAGTGGTGGTGCAGAGGTTAGAGAAGTTGGGCCTGTGATCAAAATTGCCTATTCAAGCCCCGGTACGGACAACATCAAAAAATGTGGGCGGGGTAGGTGAAGCACCCACACCTGCCCCCACCCTCATTTGTCCCACTCTGGGCCCTTGAGCAAGGCACTTAACCCCCACCATCTGCTTCTCCGGGTGTCCTAGATAGCAGCTCTCTGCTCCACACAGAGGGCTGAAGTAGCTCAGTGGTCTGTGGTTGCGTCAGGAAGGACATCCGGCATAAAAATAACTGCCAAGTCTTCATGAGACAGTTTGCTGTGGCGACCCCTAACGCAGGGAGCAGCCGAAAGAAGAAGAAAAAAAAGTACTTAAGAGGAGATTATTACACATAAAATCAATAATGATAATGATATTAAAACGGGATCGGCCGATACCCAGATTTAGGTATCGGATCAGAAGTTAAAAAATGTAGATCGGTGCATCCCTAATTTTAATGTGTTCTTAAATATCTATGTTTACCTACATTTGTAAACACGTCACTTCAGTCAAGCAAGTTGGGCTCTGAAGCGAGCCCGACTCTGTCCCTGCTCGTAGTTGTCTGACTCCACATGTGAAACCTCAGAACACCTGCATGCGGCTGCCTGTGAGCTCCTGCCCGCATGCGACACAACTGCTTGCTCGGCACTTACCCCCACCACTCTTTTAGGGGTGGAGATTTTTTCAAGAGTAGACACGGAAATGTTTCTTGAAGAGGCAGCTCGTATGCTGTTGTGTTTAAAATGAGTGTTTATGTAATTATTTTCAGTTTAAATATCCAATATAAGTTTTATTCATTCGAGGCGGTCATATTTGTTCATAACTTTATTATTAGTAAGCCTGAGAGTTACCGGATCCAAGCTGGATCCTAGCAAATGGTTACTGGAGCACAATGTCAAAATAAGAGAGTTCCCGTATTCTGTTCCGGCAAGACCTGGCTCAAATTAAGCCCTGCTGGTCAGTGAATGATGTTTGAAGAGGTTCCCATTATTTTGTGTGAGCAATACTAATTCAAAATGGTAAATTGTCGGGCGAGTCGTTGGAGGGCAAGGAAGACAGCTGTGGAGGTCACAAGGAGTCCAAGAACAGGTACATTACAATCTAGCTGTGTTTTCACTACTTTTCCTTTTGATTATCCTTTTGGTTGCCATTTTATTTGAAGGTTGTTTTCATACCTGATAGTCCGGTAGACTCTGTTCGGTTGGGGACCAATATTCATAACATTTTGTTTACATTTGAGCTGTTGCGTTTGCATTCACACTGCACTGTGCAGTCGAGCCAACCTGTTGAACCAATCTGTTCCCCGACTCGCCTGTGGTGGCGCTGCACCAAGGACTACTGAAAGAAA